TCAGCCGTTCAGTCGCATCCGACTCTTTGCCACCCCATGGACTGCAGCACGCCAGGCCTCCCCGTCCCTCACCAACTCCTGGAGTTTGCTCAGACTCATGTTCATCGAGTCGGTGATGCCATCCAACCATCTCATCCTCTGTCGTCCCCTTCTCCTCCTGCCTTCCATCTTTCCCAGCATCAGGATCTTTTCCAATGAGTCAGGGTGATAAATAACCCTACCAAAGCCTGGAACCTGAGTGTGCTTTGAGTGGCCTCCAAATCTCCAACTCGAAACGATGAGTTCATGGAACGGAGAGTCAGCCTGTGGCCTCTGGGCAGCGGCTCTGCCGGAAGAGGGGACTGGGTGCACCAAGGCCAGCAGATACCAAACTACGCAGTCAGGAGTCCACCGCCCCGGGGAAGGACGGCCCTTCCGCAGGAGCCATCACCACAGTTCAGTGGGCAGGTGTGGGCACCTGAACCTGGGGGAGCCCGACTCTAGAGTGACCATCAAACACCCACCCCCACACACAGCTCCGCACTCCAGGTAAAAGCTCAGCAGGAAAAGAGTCTTCCTCACACAGAAGCAGAGTGAGCCACGCCGGCCACCTGGTCCTCTTTCCTCACGCATGAAGGGGTTTGGGGGTGATGCACCATCCACAGGAGGAGTCCCAAGCCTCATCTGTTAGAAGGCCGACCCCCGTTTCCCCTCCAGCCCCAGACAGCATATCTTAGGTTGTCACGTCTCTTCCTGTTTCATCTGGCAGCTCTTTACCATCAGCTTTCCATCTTCCAAAAGTGTGTGGAAATCTCTCATTTGTGGATTTCTCTCCCTTTTACAATTCCTTCCCTGACTCCCCCTCCTTTTTATTCTTTTTCTGAACTTCCTTTTTTTAACTTCAATATCTTAATTTTAGAGTCACAAAGAACAAGAGAAGCAAATTCTGCCTGCTCTGTCCTTTTGAACTAGAAGCCCAGACATGTCTCTTTAAGCAGTGAGACCTGGTCAACTAATGGAAAAATCTGCATCAGGAATCCTGTTTCCCACCTTTTGTTCAAAAGGATGTAAGTCACCCATGTTTTACTGCAGGAGGTCAGAATCTTTTACAGAGTTATAGAATGGGCCAAAGCAATCGTGATGCTAACATGCCAGTTCTGAGGACATAAGATATGTGGTTTTTTTTTCTATTTTTTAATTTAAATATATGTTTTAAAATTTTTTATAATGTTGTGTCAGTTCTGCCATACAACAATGCAAATCAGCCATCATTATACACACATCCCCTCTCCCCCCCTCCCCTCCCCCCTCCTCCCTCCCCACCCCTCCAAGGCCATCACAAAATGCCAGACTGGGCTCCCCAGCTGGTGTTGCACAGCAACCTCTCACCAGCAAGATATGTTATTTCTGAGTAAATCTTGCAAAAGGGTTCTGTAACTCATTAACAGTCCTTAATGAACGGTGTTGACCCTCCCTTACAACTTCTCCTACCCCTCTCTGTGGGGAAGCCATGAAACAGGATGCAAATCCTTGGAGCTTTGCAAGAAGACAATAACAATTATATGAGATGCTGCCTGTTGAAAGGTATCAGTAATAATTGATAGCACTGTGGCTCTCTCAAGTTACTGATTAAGCATCAAAAACTGAAATCTGGCTTGCCCGTGTTTCAAATGCTGTCTCATTTCTCATCTGAATACAAACATTATCCTTCTGCATATTCATAATGACCTGCACCCACACAATATCTCTCTCCTATGTAATAGCTTGGGATGCGCAGGAATGGTGGGAAATTATACTGGTTCTCAGGAGGGAGAAGAGATCTGGAAGGTCCCGGAGAAAGGGAACTTGAGTGTGGCTTTGAAAAGGGAGCAGGTTTTGGCAGCCTACTGCAATGAGGGTGGTCCCCAGGCTGCAGTAAGGAGGGGACCTCCTTCATCTCCAGATGCCAGGCTAGTCCTGTTGCCAAGAGAAACATCACTCGGGAAACATCTCCTGCAGAAAGTATCAAGAACTGCAGTTCTCTCCCGAAGTTTACTTTGTTCATTGCAGGATGTTCTTATTTTCCAGGAGTTTAAGCAGACAGCTCCCAAGCAGGGCCTCATCTTCCACCCCCTCACCAGCCACCACTCCAGTCACTACATAAAAAAGTCCTTTAGTAGTGACTGATGAACCTACATGCTGGGCAACAATGGAGACACAGACATACAGAACAGACTTCTGGACACGGCAGGGGGGAGGTGTGGGGGGTGGAGGGAGGAAAGAGAGGGTGGGATGTATGGAGAGAGTAACATGGAAACATACACTTTACTGTATGTAAAACAGATAGCCAATAGGCATTTGCTCTGTGACTCAGGAAACTCCAATGGGACCTCTGTAACAACCTAGAGGGGTGGGATGGGGAGGGAGGTGGGAGGGAGGTTCCAGAAGGAGAGGACATAGGTATACCTATGGTTAATTCATGTTGATATTTGGCAGAAACCAACATGATATTGTAAAGCAATGATCCTTCAATTAAAAATAAATAGATTTAATTATATAATTATAAAAAAAGAAGTTCTTTAGCTGGAGGAGTGTGGCTGCCAGGATGCTTCCCTAAGAGGGATCAGACCCATTTTCAATGTCCCAATATTCTTTTGTCTCTTTGGGACAGAGAGATTCTTGTTTATTTCTAAATATGATCTTAGACGGCCTTGGTCATGTGGGAAAATTCAGGCTGTTTGCTTGTTATGGGAAGGTGCTAATAAAATCAATCTGGGTTTTAAGCATGAATAAATGGGAGCCAGTCCTGGAATGTGGCTGATTTTAAATGCACTCTCAGAGTGGGAAGAACACAGGCTTTGGCAGTTATGCTCACTGAAGCCCAGTGAGCCAGAGAAGTCTGGGGAAACAGGGTTGGAATCAAGAGCCATCAGAAAAATCAATTGCCCTGGGAGGTGAACACAGGGAGCTCTGGATATATTTAAACTATGAGTCACATGACTAGATGCTACTTAGGCAGAAGTAAAACATGTTTTCCTTTAAATGATTAAACTTAGTTGAACTTAGTACAAGAAAAATTTCTTTTCCCTGTGAATGTTTTTTTCCCCAGGCTTAAAAAACTTCAAGATGAGATTTGTTTTCTTAAAGAGAAAGCTTATATCCATAGCTTCAAACTAGATACATCTGTGGACTCAGAACACCCAAATGACACCAGATAAGGTAGCCCATCTCCTGCATCTGGATGGTTAAGACAGCACATTTTAAAAAAAGGAAAAAAAAGTGAAGAGGAGTTACAAATACTTCCTTAGTCTCTTGATAATAGAACATGGATATGGACTTGACTCTCATGTTTATTCCATTTTCTTGGACATAAAGTTTGCAATGCACACTCCTGAAGTGATAGAATAATAAAAGTTCAAGTCTGCGACAAGGAGAGGTTAGCCAAAATTCACCTTAACAGTTATTCTGCAGTCCCATCTGGATTCAGGTTAATGTCAAGATGGGAGTTAAAACTCACCATGTTGGAGCTGCCTTGCTTTGGAGAGGTTAGATTTTTTTTTTTTTTAGATTTTTTAAAAAATAAGTGACAAAGGGAGAAAAAGAAGTCTTAAATAAAATGCAAGCACAACCAACAATTACACCATCAGGTTTCGGTTTGAACTGGACACGTCTGGCCTGTTTGCTGTTCTTATTTTGGGGTTGGTTCACTTAAAAACAATAAACTTTTTTGTTCTTTCTTTTTCACTATCCAGTGACCAAAAGCTAGAATTAATTATGATCAGTATCTACTGGCTTTTTACCTGAGGGGAGAGAGAATGCTTTCTGTGTCTCCTTTTAAATGTTTTCTTTCTCAAAAGTGGTTATGTTTCTGATGACGGTTTCTAATGAGGTTCGGCATTCAGGTACCAGATCGCCTTTGGGGCAGGAGCCGAGGGACAGGAAACCCAGGGCACCACTGCCTGCTACTCGCTCCCTTGCTGAAAGGCTTGAGGGGATAGTCGGTCCGAAAGAGTCGCCCCCTTCTCTCCTGTCCTGTCTTAGGTCTGTCCGTGCGCGCGAGGGAGAAGGGCAGAAATGGAAGGGTGCGAGGCCCTGCACCTGTGTCATCTTACCCCATCCTCAGAGTATCTTTACCGTCCGCCCCCCCCCACCCCCCCACCCCTCAACTCAACCTTTGAGGAACAGGACGCTGGGAGAGGCGACGTCCCCATGCGCTCCACACTGGAGCTGGGCCGGACCGTGGAGTCACCTCCGCGCACATCAGCACCGCAGGCGGGCCGGGTCGGCCTCTGCAGTGCTTTCCAAAAAGGAAAAAGGCGGCCGAGTTCGCCCGAGCGCCGGTAGGAGCCCCAAGGTGATCAGTTCTTAACTGGCTGCGGGGACTAGGAGGGTCCCTAGTCCCCAGGAGCCAGGGACTGGAGGGCAGGCCCCCGCAAGGAAGCGCAGGACCCCAGGTAGGGAGGGGCGAGGAGGAAGGAGTCGGAGGAGGAGAGGACGCCGCGCACCAGTGCCCTCGTCCCCCAGCCAGTGCCCCCAGACCCTGCCCTCGCTCCCAGCCCCCGGCCGCCGGCTCCCCCAGAGTGCACACCACCCCGGGTCTCGGCCCCCACCACCAGGCCCAGGCCAGCATCCCGCTCTCAGCCGCCCCCGGCCGCCTCTTCGCCGCGGGATCTCGCCCCCAGCCCGGCCCCTCCTCCCGCCCCCGGCCCGGCTCAGCACTCCGGCCCCAGTCGCGCCCACTCGCACGTTCCCCCCGGTCCCGGGCTCTGGTTGCCCCGCCGCGACACCAGGCCCCGCTCTCCCCGGACCGGCGGCTTCTCCCCGCCCCCGGCCCGGCTCGCATCTCCGCCCCCAATCGCGTCCCGGACCCGGGATCACCTCCACCCCCCACTCGCGGCCCGGCGCGCCCCCTCCCCTCTCCCCCGGCCGTCCCGCTCCCAATCGCGTCCCGGGCCCGGGATCTCCTCCCTGCCGCCCCCGGCCGGGAGGCACGTCCCCGGGCCTCCTCCCGCCCCGCCGCCGGTCCGCTCCGCCCGCGCGCCATGGGCAGCGGCAGCAGCCGGAGCGGCCGCGCCCTGCGGCGTCTGCGCAGCCCCGACAGCCGGCCGGCGGGGCCCGGCGGGGCAGCCCCGGAGGGCGGGACGGGGCCCCCGGTCTCGGCGCCGGCTGTGGCGGCGGCCTGGGACGAGGCCCCGGAGGAGGCGGCCGTCACCGATCCCGGCCCCGCGGCGCCCCCAGACGGCGGGGACGAGACCCTGCGTCTGCTGGACCAGCTGTTGGCCGAGTCAGCGGGCTGGGGCCCCGCGGAGCTGGCCCCGCGGGGCCCAGCGCGGCCCAGACCCGCAGCCGGCGCTGGGAGCCCGGTGAGTGTGGGGGCCGCGGCATCCGTTCCCACCCGGTGGGGGGGGGGGCTCCCCGCCGGCCCGTACCCCGCGCCCTGTCCCCCAGCCCCTGGCGCCGTCCCGCCTTGCGCTCCCTGCTCGCCCCCCTTACTCCCACCGCCCCCGGTCCCTGCCAGACTCCCTGGGCTTGCGCGGTGCCCTGTCCCCGCTGCCCTGTGTCACCCACCGTCTGGCCGTCCCCGAATCCCACCGGGGTCTCCCTGATCGCACGGCCTCTCCTTCCCAAACATCCCTTCTGAGTCTCTTTGCCTCCTCTGGGTGCTGGTTTAACTGTCTCCACCTTGGGGGTTGACAGGGAGCGGGACAGGGACCCAGACATCCCTTAGCAGAAACGCATCTCCTGGGCTTTCTTCTGGCCAGAGTCACCTTTTTGTTGTTGTTGTTGTTGTTTTTTAAACTGTGGCTCCTTCCAGCCTAGGTGGGAGCTGCCCGGGGGGCTGCTTGTCGCTTCAGTACTTCCCTCCTCAGCCAGCCTCCAGGGCACTGTCAGAGAAGGATCCTAGGAAGTGGGGCCGGGAGCCAAACAGTGGTAGCAAAACCCCGAACCCGACAGGCGCATCAGGATCTTTGCCAACTTTGCAAGTTGTCAAGCAACTCGCACCCTGCTGGCTATTTTAAGATGCTGTGCAATTTCTTTTTGGCTTCCCTCTTCTTTCTTCCAGAACACTTGTAATAACATCCCTGCTGCTCTAGAAAAATAGACAATACAAATGAGCACTCTCTTTTGGCAATAGTCACCACTCCCGCAGAACTGAATGTAGGAGACCGGTATAGTATCAGCTCTCGGGCTTGAGGAGGATGTAGAAGATGGCCCCCTGCCCTGGAGTCCCACAGACTCTGCTTAACGACTGTTGGGGATGGGAGGGAAGTAGCTTGGGGGCAGCCACCAAGCAGGAGAAAGTGGGAAGCTCCTCCACGAGGTGGAGGTGGGGAGAGGTGGAAAGGACCGAGCCAACCTGGATGGTGCAGGGTCTTCCTCCCCTCATCCCCTCCTGCCCAAGCCCTGCTACCCTCCCAAAGTGAGCTGCAGCAAGAGGGACCGAATTATATAACAAGATTCCTTTAGGATTACATCAGTGTTCCGTTATATAACCCTCAAAAGGAATAAACGGTTGAGAAATTTGGGGGAAATTCTGAGGTGGCATGGAAGCAATCTTTGTGTTCAATTTTCAAGTACTTTGGAAGTTTAGAAGTGAAAATGAAAACAGAAAGAGAGTTTCCCCCACCCCCATCCCACCCTCATTGGCTGAGTATCATAACAACTCCTAGGGTGCTGGGGCTGCCTTATTCACCCTTTAAATAACTAAGAAGTTATTCTTTGAGCATCTGCTGTGTGCCGGGCATCACTCTGGGTGCTAGAGATGAACACAGATGGCACACAGTCTTTGCCCTAAAGAAGTTCACAGTGTAATGGGCGAGAGAGATCCACAAACAGAGTGGAACACCGGTGGGCAGTCCGTCTAGAGAGTCCCCTGGAGAAGTCATATCAGCATCCCAGCAGGACAGGGCTTGACCTGGATCTGGAAGGGTCTATGGCACTAGCTGGGCAAACAAGCAGTGAAGAGCATTTGGGCAAAGAGAATCCTGAGTACAAGGGCAATGGTGGTCGGGTCACGTGGTACCCAGGGTGTGGGTGCTAGAGTGGAGTTGAAGAGGGTGGGAAGGATGAATGCCAGGCTATAGACATGTCATACTAGAAGAGTTCCGGGCTGAGGAGTTTGGACTTGATCATAAAAACCTTGGGTATTTTGAAGGGCTAAGAGGAGTGGTATTTTGTGTCTTAGGAAGGTTAGGCCAACACCCATGGGGGGTGAACAAACTGGGTCCAGTAAGACAAGGGGCAAGATGGCTAACGGGACTGCTGCAGCAGTCCTCAGTAGCAGGTCCTGAGTGAAACAGGGCAGTTAGAGGGCTAAAGGGGAGATGGAGTCAGGAGATATTAGGAGGTGAAGTCCCCAGCCATGTTGCTCTTTTGTGTGTGGATAGTATGTATCTTCTGTGCCATAGATATTTCTTGAATAAATCCTGGAGTCCTAGATTACTATAGCTGAATGGATGCTCCGGAGTCCTATCCATTTTTTTCAGTTCTGGGGAGACTGAGTAAAAAGGTTGAAGGTGCTTCATGTCCTGGCTCTAGAGGTCTCAGGTAGAAAGTTAACTACCTGTATGGCCAAGTGTGGGGGCTTCCCAGGTGGCGTTAGTGGTCAAGAACCCTCCTGCCAATGCAAGAGACATAAGAGACTCAGGTTTGATCCCCGGGTCAGAAAGATACCCTGGAGAAGGAAATGGCAACCCACTGCAGTATTCTCACCTGGAGAGTCCCACGGACAGAGGAGCATGGTGGGCTGCAGTCCATGGGGTTGCAAAGAGTTGGACATAAATGAAGTGAGTTAGCATGCACACATGCATATATGGCCAGGTGTGGAGCCGTAGCCTTTCTGCTTTATAGTTTATGCCCTTTAATTGGGTCTCTGGCAACTGCACATTTTCTAAGACTCTGAGTTATTACTAAATAGGTAAATAATGCTTTCTCTGTTTTATAAACAAAGCCATTTCACTCCCAGAGAATCGTCATGTTCCCAAAACCACACTGCCAGTAAGTGGAGGGAGCAGAGTTTGTAGCAAGTCTGCTAGGCTCCATCAACAGACAACCTGGACTATTCCATGCCTTTTTCGTTTTCCAGGTGTCTAGCACTTCCAATGCTCTACTTACAGCGACTCTAATGCCTGGCCCATTTTTTTTTACCAAATGACTTTTTTTTTTTTTAAACATTCAGTAATCCTGAGTTTTACTCAAGCAATCTCATCAGAACCTTTATTTTGTCTGATAAAGGTACTCTACCTTGCCCTCATAATATGCCCTGAATGTCATTTTTGGCAGCCTCCTTGTTCATTCAGATGTTTATGTGCTTAGGGGTCATACCATTTTTACTAAAAGTTGTGAGACTCCCAATTATTTACTTAATACATCTGTCACCAGCATCCTTTTCTTTGAGCGTTTTCATGAGCCTGTGCGTGTAAGCATATTGCTGGTCATCCAGGGACAGAGGCAGAAGAACAAAGGGAAGAAAGACCCAGAATGAGGTCTGGTCCCCGTCCTGTACCAGTTTTGATTTCCACTAAACAGAGGGCTCTGAGGTTCACTTACAGTTGCTCAGAAGCTGTTCATATATTGTAATACAGCCACTATCTACTGGGGCTATTCAGAGAACCCGCTCCTAACATCCAGTGTTTTACTTAATCCTTGTCAGAATAGGTCCTTGCCGAATTGCTGTCACTTTCCCCTAACTTCATGTCATAGGGGAGGGGAGAAGCCCCAGAGAGGCAGTCAACTTGGCCAAGGCCATGTAGTTGGAAAGAGCGAGTCCGAGTCTTTCTGAACACACTCTCTGCAGAGCCCTAGTTGTATATAATATACAATTCTAATTGTATATTAGAATTTTTTTCCAGCACTCAGGATCTTTAGTTGCAGCATGTGAACGCTTAGTTGCGGCACATAAGATCTAGTTCCCAAACCAAGGATGGAACCCGGGCCCCCTGCAATGAAAGTACAGTACTTAGCCACCGAACCACCAGGGAAGTTCAATTAGAGTTTTGACTGAGCCAATTTTCCATCAGGAGGGATTATCACTTGTTCCCCAACTCCTCTGGGGCTCAGTTTTTCTCTAAAATAAGTCTCCATTCCCTGGGTCTAGGAGCCTTCACCCATTTCCCTGACTGCATAAAATGTGTCCCAGTCACTGAATATGAGTCCAACCTGGCAAAGGTTATGCTTACTTTTAAGTGTTTGTTTTTGAAGTTAGAATAGGTAATATACTTGTGCGTGAGAAAAATTTTGTTCTTGGCTGTTCTCTCCAATAAAAGAAAAAAAACTTAAAATGACCTTACTTATGAAAGGGCTTCAATAAAGAGGTGAGCCCTATAATTAGCTTCACTTTACAATTGTAAAAGAATGTTTGCTCATTGTAGAAAAGTGAGAAAACCATATATATATATAATATATATATAAAGGAAATAAAGATTTCAGAATAGACTCTGCAGATATTACTGATAATATTTTGATGTAGTTCCTTCCAGTTTTCTCTGTCCCGTTTCTACGTATCTTTTATGTCAGTAAGATCATAGTGTGTGTGTGCTCAGTCCCTTAGTTGTATCTGACTGTTCGTAGCCCCATGGACTATAGCCCACAAAGCTCCTCTGTCCATAGAATTTTCCAGGCAAGAATACTGGAGTGGGTTGCCATGTCCCATACACATGTCAAAACCTATCAAATTGTATTATTTAAATGTCTACAGCTTGTCCCATGTTAACTATATATATTATTGATATGTGTACATATATGTGTATAAAACTGTTAAAACCTAAGAGTTAAGAACAAGAGAAGCAGGATATAAAGGTGGTGGTTTAGTCACTCAATGGTGTCCTACTCTTTGCAACCCCATGGACTGTAGCCCACAAGGCTCCTCTGTCCATGGAATTTCCACATATTGTTAAATAAAATATGCACTGGATTTTCTACAGATACTTCACTTTTTTCCCAAAACCCCTAGTTATAAGAGTCAGGGGAGGCTTTAAGAAATCATCTTATTCATTTCTTCCACATATGCTTCCTGCTTCTCATTCTGCCGTGGTGTGGTATGGTTCAGCCTCCCCAAGACCTGGAGTGATGACACATCACACGCTCACACGGAGCTCAGTCCAGTTCCCATGGCCCCAGCCCAGGTGCCACAGCCTCCCTGGGGTGGGACAGAAGTCTGTCCTACTGACCAGGAGAGGCAGGCAGGCAGGCAGCTGGCTGGAGGCGGCAGCTTGCATCTGCACTCGGCCTGGAGCGGCCACCAGGGGCTGCTGTGTCTTTGCTCTTCATCCGAGCTCCTGCGAAGCTTCCACCAGCTGCATCTTCTGGGAGATCCAGGGTGGATCAAGCTGGGAGGGTGTGTAACGCGTTTTGCATCTGAGTC